ATACTATATTGGCCATTTTCCGAAAAGTGTCCATCGTATTGGAAGTCATCAAGAATGTCCCATTAAATATGCTATTTTTTTCAAAATTCGTACAATAACCAACACAGTATATTAAAACTGATCATTTCTAGTTGCTATTTTTAGTGTAATATGTTGGGAATTGAACGGGTTTTGAATCAAAATTCGTACAATAACCAACATAATGTACTGAAAGTGATTATTTTTAGTTGTCATTTTTAGTACACTGTGTTGGGTGCGCGTTTTGGTTAAAGTGACAACTTAGTAGATCATTTTTTGATGAAACATTTTTCAAAAAATGGTCGTGTACTAAAAACAAAATTTAGCCTCTATTATTAATTCTCCCAATTCCTTATTTTATTTTATTTTCGAATTGTTTTATTACAGGAGTTACTACAGATGCACAAGCCAAAAATGTGGGGTGAAGAAGCGAATCGAACGGTCTTCCCAAGACCCGTCGGTGGTGATCACCACTTACGAGGGGCAGCACAACCACCACAGCCCGGCCACCGTCCGTGGCAGTGCCGCTGCCGCCATGCTCAGCCCTTCCCTCTTCCCGTCGCCTTTCTCTAGCCAAGACCTCCAATTTTTCCCCTCCAGCGGCGGCCACCTCACGGGCTCCGGCTACTTTTCCCATCTCATGAGCCCACACCACCAGCATCAAGAGGCAAATAACAACCAGTTGGGGCTGTTCATGCCGGCTTTGAACAACATGTCGTCGGCTTACCTTCACAAGCGCACTTAATATAAGTGATTCGCTAAGCGTATAATGATGCTGGAAAACTCATGTTGTTTTTATGATTGTGTTTTGAGGTAATGTTTGTAGTTTTGTTTTGTTTTGTTTTTTGGAATTTGACGCAGATAATTATGACATCGTCATGTTTTTTTTTCTTTTTTAATTCGACATGGATAAATGTGACATCATCATGTACACGTGACGAGTTTGGCCAGGTTGGAGATGTGTGGAATGGAGTAGAACAAATATCACTTAT